TAGAAGCCACGTACAGTTCACATGGTGAGTACACCTCCCCCACACATAAGTGAGTACACCTCCCCCCCACATGGTGAGTACACCTTCCCCTCACACATGGTGCCCTCTCTACACATGGTGAGAGTACACCCTCCCCCTCACACATGGCGAGTACACCTTCCCCACACATGGTGAGTACATCCTCCCCCACACATGGTGAGTACACTCTCCCTCCCCCACACATGGTGAGCACACCTCCTCCCCCCACACATGGTGAGTCCACTCTCCCTCTCCCCCACACATGGGAGGCACCTCCTTCCCCACACACATGGTGAGTACACCTCCCTCCCCATACACATGGTGAGCACTCTTCCCCACCCCCACACACATGGTGAGTACACTCTCCTACCCCCACACATGGTGAGTACACCCTCCTCCCCACACATGGTGAGACACTCTCTCCCTCACACATGGTGAGTACACCTCCTCCCCACACATGGTGAGTACACCTCCCTCTCCCCCCACACATGGTGAGTCCACCTCCCTCCCCCACACATGTGAGTACACCTCCCTCCCCATACACATGGTGAGTACACCCTCCTCCCCATACACATGGTGAGTACACCTCCCCTCCCCACACTTGGTGAGTACACCTCCTCCCCACACATGGTGAGTGCACCTCCTCTTGTACTCACATACAGTACTGTACTATACACTATATAAGCTACCTTCCTTCTTTCTGCACTGTAACCCAACCTAACCTAACCTAACCTAATCTAACTCTAACCAACCCTCCCCTGCCTAGGTAGCGTTAAGGTGTTTAATCATCAGGTGAAGTAAACTGAGGTGTCTAATCTTCACATATTCCAAAGGTTTATTTCAAAAGAATTATTACATTACCTGTTGAAGTTATGTGTCCTGGTGGTTACAGTTACCCCTCCTCACCATCACACACCCGTTTTCTTTGTTTCATTTTCTTTATTTGTGAGGGGAAACTTTTTTATTTTGGTCACATGTTTTTTTTCCCTTCCATTTAATCTAATATTCTGGTGTGTTGTGTCGTTGTGTCTGTAGGACTTCTGGGAGTATCCTTTGTCCCCACGAGTCCTTCTCTACACCTTTGTCCTCCACCTGGTTAAAGTATTCAGTCCTCCTCCTCCTCTTCCTCCTCCTCTTCTCTCTTCCTCCCTTTCTTTTTTATTATTCCTTCTTTATTTCTTTTTCTCTTCTTGTCTTTTCTCAACCTGCCATAGCTAACCCCTGTGCATCCCATTGAGTACGATGACTTAACAGCTTGAGTACTATATCTTAACCCTTGAGTACGATAACCCCTGGAACACTATATCCATTTGACTACGATGACCTGTAACGTTGAGTACGATGACCTGTAACGTTGAGTACGATGACCTGTAACGTTGAGTACGATGACCTGTAACGTTGAGTACGATGACCTGTAACGTTGAGTACGATGACCTGTAACGTTGAGTACGATGACCTGTAACTTTGAGTACGAATTTAGTACGATGACTCTGTAACGTTGAGTACGATGATCTGTAACGTTGAGTACGATGACCTGTAACGTTATGATGACCTGTAACTTTGAGTACGATGACTCTGTAACGTTGAGTACGATGACTCTGTAACGTTGAGTACGATGATATTAAACCCAGGGAATTGTCATCGTACTCAAGACGACTAAGTCACCTTACTCGAGAGAGAGAGAGAGAGAGAGAGAGAGAGAGAGAGAGAGAGAGAGAGAGACTACCCCCTCTCACATAGACAAGAGTAACGTCACCTCTCAACCACAACCATACAATACAACCACTACAACTCTCCACCACCACAAACCACAACCATACACACAACCACTACAACTCTCCACCACCACACAACCACAACCATACACACAACCACTACAACTTCCACCACCACACAACCACAACCATACACACAACCACTACAACTCTCCACCACCACACAACCACAACCATACACACAACCACTACAACTCCACCACCACACAACCACAACCATACACACAACCACTACAACCTCCACCACCACACAACCACAACCATACACACAACCACTACAACTCTCCACCACCACACAACCACAACCATACACACAACCACTACAACTTCCACCACCACACAACCACAACCATACACACAACCACTCAACTCTCCACCACCACACAACCACAACCATACACAAACACTACAACTCTCACCACCACACAACCACAACCATACACACAACCACTACAACTCTCCACCACCACACAACCACAACCATACACACAACCACTACAACTCTCCACCACCACACAACCACAAACCATACACACAACCACTACAACTCTCCACCACCACACAACCACAAACCATACACACAACCACTACAACTCTCCACCACCACACAACCACAACCATACACACAACCACTACAACTCTCCACCACCACACAACCACAACCATACACACAACCACTCACAACTCTCCACCACCACACAACCAAACCACAACCATACACACAACCACTACAACTCTCCACCACCACACAACCACAACCCAACAACCCACAACAACCACCTATATTTTTTTCTTTTTTTATTTGTTTATTTTTTTTTCATTTCACTTTTTATTCTATTTTTTCCTCAATTTCTTCATTTATTTCATTCATTTCTTTCATCTCCTGAAGATTCGTTTCCTTCACCTACCCATAACATTCTGTGTGTGTGTAAATAAGGCTGGTGGCTGGGAGGAGGAGGGAGAGGAGGTAGGGGAGGGTGGGGGGAGAGGGGTGGGTAGGGGGGAGAGGAGGGGAGGTGGGGTAGGGGAGGGTGGGTAGGGGGTGGTAGGAGGGGTTGGTAGGGGAGGGTGGGTAGGGGGTGTTGGGTGTAGCTAAGACGGAGTTGCTGTTGCGACCACATCCTAGGTAAAGTTGGCTTGTAGAGGGGTGGGAGTGGGAGGGTGTGTGTGTAAAGTGGGTGATGTGATGGTAGTGATAATGGTAGTAGTAGTAGCTATGTGATGTGGTCTTAGGAATAAACACAACAACAGCAATGATAACAACAATAAATTAAATATTAATGATTAAAGGAAGCTTAGAATAAGGAATGATGGAATGGGAGGTTGTCTGTGTTAGGTTACACGGATGAGATTCTTCCACCTTCCTCTGTCCACTCTTCATATTCTCTCTCCCCTCACCTTCCCTCACTTTCCCTCACCTCCTCTACCTTCCCTCACCTCCCTCACCTTCCCCTCACCTTCCCCCTCCCCTCCCCTCCCCCTCCCTCACCTTCCCCTCACCCTCCCCCCTCACCCCTCCCTCCCACCTTTCCTCCACCTGTCACCATCACACCTGGATGACCGTCTTCCTTAACAACTCGATAGGTAATTAAGTGGTTGTTACACAAAAATGGTTTGCTAATTAGGTGGTTGTCTGGAGCGGCGGCGGTAGTTAGCAAAAATAATGACGATGTTATTTACTAGTTGGCATCTCTGGTCAGTCAATTTAAAGGACGTGTTTTGTTCATGTTGATGGGAATATTTTTGTGTCTGTCTGTCTGTTTTTGTCTGTCTCTCTGTCTGTCTCATTGCTGTCTGTCTGTCTGTCTGTCTGTCTGTCTGTCAGCTTATTGTCAATCAACAAACGTAAGTAAATGAATTGAGTTAAAGTTTTTGTGATTATTGTGGACAGAGAGAGAGAGAGAGAGAGGGAGAGAGAGAGAGAGAGAGGAGCTGTCCTTTCCTCAGGTAAATAATAGAGACAGGTGAGAAGTCCCCTGTCTCCTCTCCAGGTAACATTAATGAGACACCTGTTGAATACCTGTCCCATCACCAGGTAATATTAGAGTGAAGGTGTTAATTACAATTTACACCTGGCTAATTAATTTCGGTCAACTCTCTCCTGTTATCAAGACAAGTAATGTGATTTTCATATATTTGGTCCAATAAACTGTATGTTATTTATACTCTGTTATTGCGGTTCTTCTGGTTATTGTTGTTATAAAAAAAAAAAAAAAAAAAAAAAAAAAAAAAAAAAAAAAAAAAAAAAAAAAAAAAAAAAAAAAAAAAAAAAAAAAAAAAAAAAAAAAAAAAAAAAAAAAAAAAAAAAAAAAAAAAAAAAAAAAAAAAAAAAAAAAAAAAAAAAAAAAAAAAAAAAAAAAAAAAAAAAAAAAAAAAAAAAAAAAAAAAAAAAAAAAAAAAAAAAAAAAAAAAAAAAAAAAAAAAAAAAAAAAAAAAAAAAAAAAAAAAAAAAAAAAAAAAAAAAAAAAAAAAAAAAAAAAAAAAAAAAAAAAAAAAAAAAAAAAAAAAAAAAAAAAAAAAAAAAAAAAAAAAAAAAAAAAAAAAAAAAAAAAAAAAAAAAAAAAAAAAAAAAAAAAAAAAAAAAAAAAAAAAAAAAAAAAAAAAAAAAAAAAAAAAAAAAAAAAAAAAAAAAAAAAAAAAAAAAAAAAAAAAAAAAAAAAAAAAAAAAAAAAAAAAAAAAAAAAAAAAAAAAAAAAAAAAAAAAAAAAAAAAAAAAAAAAAAAAAAAAAAAAAAAAAAAAAAAAAAAAAAAAAAAAAAAAAAAAAAAAAAAAAAAAAAAAAAAAAAAAAAAAAAAAAAAAAAAAAAAAAAAAAAAAAAAAAAAAAAAAAAAAAAAAAAAAAAAAAAAAAAAAAAAAAAAAAAAAAAAAAAAAAAAAAAAAAAAAAAAAAAAAAAAAAAAAAAAAAAAAAAAAAAAAAAAAAAAAAAAAAAAAAAAAAAAAAAAAAAAAAAAAAAAAAAAAAAAAAAAAAAAAAAAAAAAAAAAAAAAAAAAAAAAAAAAAAAAAAAAAAAAAAAAAAAAAAAAAAAAAAAAAAAAAAAAAAAAAAAAAAAAAAAAAAAAAAAAAAAAAAAAAAAAAAAAAAAAAAAAAAAAAAAAAAAAAAAAAAAAAAAAAAAAAAAAAAAAAAAAAAAAAAGTGTTAGGAGGTTCACCACTAGCCTCGAGAAGAAGCTGAGGCCCCACTACACCTGCCCACCACACACACCGCAACACACACCCTCCACCACACACACCACCACACCCACCACACACACCCCACACACACCCCCACCACACACACCACCACACCTCACCACCACACCCACCACACACACCGCAACACACACCTCCACCACACACACTCACACACACACCCCTCCACCACACACGCACACACCCTCCACCACACACCACCACACACACCACCACACACCCACCACACACACCGCAACACACCTCCACCACACACACCGCAACACACCA